ATCTGGCATCCAGATCTTAACGAGTCCTCTAAATCTGAGTCCCAGACGTGGGAACACTACCCTAATCAACGAGTGCCCCTCATTTACCATTCCTACATATTAATATTAGTGTTAATAAACTCTATGCACGCTGACTCTGACGCCTCTGACCATAAACTCTAACTCTTCATGCACTCTACCTAGCAAAGAAATAAACCCTTGTCCTCTTGACTCGGATTTTCAATCTTTGGGAATAAGTGGAGAGAATGAACAGAGGTACTCATAGAGAGGAGAGAGAGATCATGGAAGATCTCTGGAGTTATATCGAAGAACGGAATAAAGCGTGCGAGAATTCAATTGGGATTGTTGCTCGCAGCATCGGATTTTGTTTCCACTATACCTATCAGGCTTTATTTTCATGTACGCCAGAGAAGATCTTTCGAGGTTTCCTTTGAGGAATTATAATTAGAGCCTGTTGGCAAGTTGAGGAGATGTAATGGGATCATTTTGTTCGTCGAACTTGGAACTCGCGGCCTGTTTTTTCCTTGAGTACTGGCGGGAACTGGATTCTTCTTTGCGCAGGCAGGAATAATTAGCAACTACTTTTGAATCGGACGTATCGCGAGGAGAATTTTTAAAATGGAATCGCGAGATTCGCGATTATAATTAATCCGAATGTAATTTGTAATAATAACGAGACAATAGGAACTAGGTCTCTCATATTAGAAGAATAATGGAAAACCTACTTTTTATTTCAAAATATATAACATATTTCGAGCCTGGTACTTTGGGGAGCCATTTTTGTTTAAAATGAAGGAATTTATTTGAAGAAGGTATACAAAAATGTATTCTGAAGGTAGCTTTTAATTGCAAATTTTGTTTAAGAAATTTAATTCTAAGATAATCGATTTTTAAATAAATTTTGAATCAGGGTTGACATTAATTATATTATACTCTGTTAAGTATGCACCTGTAATTTTTCACATTTAAAATATCAACCCTCTGCATTCAACGATATTTTTTAAAATAGTAAATGATACCAAATATTATATAAATTGACACGTGGAATTATTTTATTTTGTTACTTTGTTTTTAATTTAATACGTTAATTAATATAAATCTTTAGAATTTTATTAAATGGCTATTAACTGAGGGGTAAATTTCTCTGGAAAAAATTTGAATAGAAATTGGTTTGTAGTTTTCTTTTCTATGGAATAATGGTACTTCTTGATATCAAAAGAGTGGTAAGAATAAGCACTCCCGGTCGATCGTAATTCTTCGCACAACACGTCGCAGAATCAGAGGAGAGGCTGAGGGTAGAAACGGAATTTCAATTTGCCGGGCATGGGTGGCGTCGTAGGTTAGCGGGTTCTAACGAGGGATGCAAATTTCATCCGGCGTCGCGGCGCTGAGACGCGGAGCGTCAAAACGTATTTTAAGCCGCGACCAGGGCCGTGCGAAATAATTCATCCAATGAATTATTTCCACCAGTGCGACGCCCGTTAACGAGGATCGATCGTCTTTCGTTCTCCTTGCCCTATCGAGCCCGATTGCTGCCCTCCAGAACACCCCATTCGGCTTCAAAAAATTTTTCCAATTACTTTACTCCAACTTCCACCCATGCAAAAGAATTTACCTTTTTATTACTACGAATTATATCAGAAATTTGAAATTTTTATAGTACAACTTTATAGTATAGTTTTATATTAGTAAAATTCGTCTTGTTAGAAATAATATAATTTAAATTTTTAATTAGCTACGTTACAATTTTGAAATTACGTGTTTTATTTATTATTTTATTCATATTGTATTTATTATTTATTGTACGTGTTACAAATTTGAAATCTTTTTATCGCTGCCCTCCAGAACATCCCATTTAGCTTCAAAAAATTTTTGCAATTACTTTACTCCAACTTCCACCCATGCAAAAGAATTTACCTTTTTATTACTACGAATTATATCAGAAATTTGAAATTTTTAAAGTATAGTTTTATAGTGTAGTTATAGTATAGTTTTATAGTAGTAAAATTCGTCTTGTTAGGAATAATATAATTAAAATTTTGAATTAGCTACGTTACAATTTTGAAATTACGTGTTTTATTTATAATTTTATTTATGTTTCATTTATTATTTATTTTACGTGTTAGAAATTTGAAATTTTGTTATTGCATCTCATCTGAATTAATTTGACGTCTCATCACTGGCAGACTCATATTCGACCGATAAAATTTGAATCTTCGCTGTATACATATCACAAGCTTCGAGTCTTACTACGTCTTACAGTTCCAATAATAGAATTCTTCTACTTTCATTTTTATTCCTCCCTTCCTCGGAGAAATACCCCGCCAAATTTAAACTTTGAAACGCGTTAAGGAAATTCTGAAATGAAATTTAAATCTCGTACTGTACATCTTACCCGGAAACACGGAAAGAAAATTGTACACTACAATGAAATTTCACTCTTCGACTTAACTACGCTAATTGAAATTTCCCATCATCAACCCTATCTCTAATAAAAATAAATACATCTACTTCACCCACCCCAAAAACAGGCCCACCAAGCTACACCTCCATTAAATAAAATCTTCGGCGCCAATAAAACCGCCAGAAAAGAAAATAAAATAAAAAAATGATATCAAAAGAAAAAAAAAAAGAGGAAAAATTAAGGGAAAAAACAGAATACTATCTCGAAATTCAGTACAATGTTCAAGTACGTTAACGATTTCCATTGGCCGGGTCGTTGCGTTTCATAAAAGGGGTGGCCTCCCGTAGATGTCGCGGTTACTCGCGCGAACTCGCCTCCTTATCTTCGGCCATTACCCCAAACACGGCTGGAAAACGTTTTCACGGCTGTCTGCGTGCGGTGGAAAAACGCTGGTCTCTGCGTTTTCCCGCGATGCAGCATCGCGTTGCCGAATCTCGCGATGCTGAGAGTCGCGGAAACCGGACGATGCCTCATCCGGAAATTGGTCTGCACGATCAAGCTAATTCCTGCAGAGGTAAAGATTCCCTTCCGGTTCATGTGCATAATGGGTCCGGAGATTGAGAAGTTTCCCTAAATTTCCTTTTTTTTCCTCGAATTTTTCCTCTTTTCTGTGCTTAGTTTCTCATCGGCAGCATGATCTATTGATGACAGAGTTTCTTGGATTTGGGTGTTATATTTTCGTTTTCCTATTTTTATCAGTGCTTTTAGTATTTTATTAATAAATTATTACTTGCGAAACAATTATTTTTATTGGTTGTAAATATTGTTCCTAGCCCCCATGTTCACCCTCACTAGTCACGTCACTGAAGATACGAAATCTATAATCATATTAACGATATGAAGTTAATGTTTTCATTTTCTGTTTGGTTTTGTTTTAGTTTAGGATACTTGTTCGAATATCTACATCCATTTCGATTATTTAAAAGGAAGATTATTTTAAGCCACTTCGCTAATGCGAATTAGTTAACTCGAAATTCTCCAGCCTCATCAATCAAATTACCACGAATCTCTTTAATCGAAGTAACCTAAAGCCACTCCGCCACTGTGTACCTGCCACGTTATTCATCTTGAGTACCCTTTCAAGTCCAACTTCTTGCAACTTCTGTCCCAATTGAAAACACCTAACCTAACCTAACCTAACTTAATCCTGTATATGTATAATTGCTATGTATTTAACTTGAATAATTAGAAAATATCGCTATTATTATTGATCGGGAAATTGATATATGAAATTCATATATTTCCGATGATACGTGAATGTTTTAGCGGTCCGAGGACGGCGACACTAGCGCCACGGGACGTTTAATCTCAGGCCAGCCGTAGTGTCAAATCGATGTGGAATGTAGGTCGAATTCGGCTTACCGAAATTGATTTCTCCGGTTTCTGAATTATGTGCGCTGCGCCATTGCTTGTGTTTCCCGCTTTAAGTCATTTTTTCACGCGCGTTTATTCGAATTTATCGACGATGTCGGCGCGTTGGAAGATCGGTCGGTAATTCATTGTTAGTCTGTATTAATCCGCCGTATCCGGGGAATTTATCGGCCCGATCAATCAGCGATCCTATCGCGATTTTGTGACAATTTTTGGAATATAAAAGACAGAACTGCCAAACGAGTCTCGATAACTTCCCTGAGATATTTGATTTTTATAATTTCACAAAACACGACGCAATCGGCATAGTCTTTCAATATAAATGTTGGCTATTAGGAAACAGAAAGCTAACATTACGATTGAAAGACTACGCCAATGCTGCCATATCCTATCTCACTCGGTCTCACTGTAGACCGTCGATGATCTTCGTCACCGTCTTTGATCAATAGTGGTCACTACCTGTGATCAAGACAATATCAGTGGAGTTAATTAAACGTGAGGGTGCAAACACGCGGTGCCTTCTTTTCTCGAACGTACAGTACGCAGATTCTATATCTATGACAGCCGTGAGGATGTAAACACGCGATGCTTTCTTTTCTCGAACGCACAGTACTCAAATTTTATACTTATATCAGCCGTGAGGATGTAAACACGTGGTGCCTTCTTTTCTCGAACGCACAGTACTCGAACTCTACGTATACGACAGCCGTGAGGATGTAAACACGCGATGCCTTCTTTCCTCGAACGCACAGTACTCGAATTCTATATCTACGTCAACCGTGAGCATGTAAACACGCTGTGCCTTCTTTTCTTGAACGCACAGTACTCGAACTCTACGTATACATCAGCCGTGAGGGTGTAAACACGCTGTGCCTTCTTTCTGCGAACGCACAGTACTCGAATTTTATAACTACGTCAGCCGTGAGAATGTAAGCACGTGGTGCCTTCTTTTCTCGAACACACAGTACAAGTGTATCAAGACGATTCTGCGTAAGCGCTGGTCTAGTAATCCCTATTCTCATAATAAATATCGTTACGTCGAAGGAGTCGTCGCTGTTTTGCAAATGCCTATCCTATAATATCTTCTACGCGTATGATATATTTAATTGTTGGAAATTTCTTTAGATTTTTTCACTAATGTTTCTATCTTTAATCTGTCTTTCAGCCTGCATTCTGGAACTCGTGGTTGGTCAGCAAGGACCGGTGTTCGTTCTCGAGCCACCGAGTACTCTGGTCTTCTCCAATACCACAGGCTCCCAGCTAAGCTGCTCCGCTCATGGGAGCCCAACTCCGCACGTCACCTGGATAACCAGTCCGGATCAGAGATCGGTCACCGCAGTTCCTGGACTAAGGTGAGCTAATTAACATAAGTACAGAGTACTTTAAACTCCGCTTCAAAGTCCCTGCGCTCACCTAAGACGATATAAGCTCATTTCTCATCGATTAAACCGAGGACGAGGTCGGCCATGATTATACCGTTCGAATTTTAATCTGTAATATCCATCGGGTAATTCTTGTACAGTTTACATCCCTGAACACGAATCCGTAATCAAAATTACTCCACCATTTTCAGTTTTCGAAAATTGCAAATTTTTATAAAGACGCGCGATTTTTTGATAAAATGAAATCGTTGGAAGATTCGTTTTCATGTTAAAAATTAAGTGGGAGTTTCTTTTTTAAATAGTTCATATTAAAAAATTATTCGTCACTTTATGTATCGAATGACGAAACCGTTTTAAATGATAATCAAATGATTCGGAAAAATTTCTTATAATATTACGATTAGTATAAAAGAATACATGAGATCGTATACGTGTGATGTATTTAAAAAGTGAGATATACTAGAGATGAGTTGGGTGTCGGTTGCGCGTAGGCACGGCCCTGACGACGCTAGATGCGCGAGCAATGGCCGCGTGGCGGGAAAATCCCGCTTACGTGTTCCCGATATATATTTTACTTTCTTTGAATATTTAACATTATTCTAATATTTTTCTTGAGTAGTTTCTTCTTCAGAAAAGTCTACAGAATATTCTACTGTCTATAAAATTCGTATCAGTTACAGAATTTCTTCTAAAAACGCAAAAATAGTGCGTAGAAAATACACTCGGTAACTTAATTTTAAATTTTGACGACCAATTATAATTATTCAGAATCACGAATAATTCTAATTATGGACATTGATAAATTACGGATACTCTCACCTAATTTATACGACATTGAACGACCAATGACTATATTTTGGATATTACAAATTTTTAAAAAATTAAAAATTTGTTAGACAGTGTTATTTAAAGATTATTCGCCATTGGGAAATTAAATGAGATTTTTGTTTGAATATTCTTGTTTTAAATACGATAATCGTTGAATTATTAAATAAATTCTATAATTTACGGTTATTTCTATATTTTTAATTCGTACAATTAATCGCGCAAATATTATTACTCGTGAGTAAAACGGCGCAGGAGCGACACGAGTTTATTAAAACAATATTATTTCGTTTGCATTAAAATCTAGATTCTGCAATTACTAAATTGTAAACGTAATCTCGTGAAATTGAAAATGGTGGATTACGGAAGGATATTTCTCCGTTTCCAATATCCACTCATTCGGCACGTCGATTAATTGCGAAGAAAAATAACGAAAATCGACGTTTGTTTTAAATATACAGATTGAAGCATCAATCCATTACTTTGCATTAAAATTATTTCGAATTTTAAAGTCGCCTGTAAACGCTTCGATTATTTTTACGATCTCGAATCGTATCGTTTATTATCGTAATGTCGGTTTTATTCGCAAGGCGGAGATAATATTTTTCAAATAACGTCGTTCGTTAAATTTCCCGTTGTTATTGTTCAATTTTTATTTGGAATCTTGTGGCGCGTATGTTTCGATTATAGACGCGTGGATGCGCGGGGTAATGGCGGCGGGTTTCCATCGACGCGACACGGCTTCCGGTAATTCCGTTTCGGCTATCGCTGGCCGCTTGTAAGATCCGCATTTTCGGCTGAAAATTCGCGATTCGTAAGAGTGCTCGGAGCGATAGAAAGGGCTAAGCGGATTAGCCTGCCGGGATTTAGAAGTTCCGAGCCACTGTAAATTGCGGGAGTTTCGAACGAGGCGGACTTACGGTGCCCCGTGGAAAAATACGGCTGCAACGTCGCCGCGAAACATAATTAAGTTCAACTTTTGATACCTGCGGCCAACAGTGATTAAAGGCAACTTCTTCCGTTTGTTTTTCGAATAACAGTGAATATTCCCATTTGGGTCTGCTTATCGTTCGGTAAAAATCGAAAGGATATCGAAGGGATTAATTCTTTTTCTTTATTTTACCAAATTTCGAGATAAAAATTATAAATATTATTACTAAAATATTAATATTTCGAATTGTCGGAAATATTATTTTTTTATAATTACAAATATTATTTTTGTGATATTTGAAATATTATTTTTGTAAAATGTCGTACGTTGTTTCTGAATATTATTTTTAAAATATTGTAAATAATGTTTTTGTAAAATTTCGTGTATTATTTCTGAATATTATTTTTCTTTAATTCTATAAGTTGTTTTTGAAATATTTGAAATAATATTTTCATAATAATTTCATACATTTCTTCTGAAATATTAAAAATTGCATCTTTATGCAATTTCAAATATTATTTTCGAATAATTCGAGGTTTCGTTGATGTTTACTTATTTAATTTTGGTATAGTCGGATAGACTAATAAGGACTACGTATTCCTCAACTGATGCTTGCTTAATTGAATCTCTACTCTTCTGGATACCTATTAGTGGAACAATTATAACTTCAGACACAATCCTGGCCAACTTATCAAATCAATTACAATTCCGTTTCACTTATCTGAGCAAACAAATGATACGTTCGATTCACCGAATCGGATATTGTTCTATTATCCTTGTCCGATCATGCAGTGTCCTATTATACTTGTTCAATTAGATACGCTTATACACTAATTACCTAATTAGATATACACCGATGACCCCAAAAACTGGTCTCTATCACCATCTACCACGAAATTAATCACCGAATTGAGCAATTATACTCTTTAATTCCATCCAACCATTAACCCCCAATTATTAAATACAATTGTCTCACAAGTAACATTCACAATCCAAACTATTAAATATACTAAAATATCTTTAAATTCTACATCGTAAAATATCCCCATAAAATTTCATTTTACGTACCCTTGTGTAATTTATCATTAACGATACCTTAATAATTAAAATTATTTCTGTCTCGAAAAATTTTTAATCGAACGAGGAAATTTTATCTCTTTATTTCCATCCACCCATTAACCCCCAATTATAAAATACAATACAATGTCTCACAAGTAACATTCACAATTCGAAATATTAAATATACCAAAATATCTTTAAATTCTACATCGTAAAATATCCGCATAAAATTTCATTTTACGTACCCTCGTGTAATTAATTATTAACGATAACTTATTAATACCTAATTAAAATTATTTTTAAAAGTACCTAATACCTAATTCAAATTATTTCTGTCTCGAAAAATTTTTAATCGAACGAAGGAATTTTGTCAGAAAATACAAAGTGGTCGAATGTGAAATAAACGAAACGAAGATTCTCGTGCTGTATCAGTCGCTGGAATTAAACGAATTTTCCGAATTTATTCCAAGATCCAGATATGGATGTGAGGTAAGGTTGGTATTATTGGAAGTTTGATGCCACACGTCCGGCAATATCGTAAACGTGGCACCTGGGGAAGCCATTTCCCCTCGGTAATTGAAATGTTCCTTATCCAATGGTCGTCTAGTAAGTTTGTTCCACAGGAAAGCGTGGGCTCTCGTTCAACAGCTTTCGATACGCTCGTATCACGCGTTAATCGAGTCCTAACGAACGTGTAATCTCAGGAAAGAAGGAAGTTAATCAAAGAATTAGATAAAATCCCGAGTCGCTCAGCATTTAGTACCTGACAGCATTTAGACCTGAGTTCCAGATGGGGACACTATGCTAATAAACCAGTGCCCCTAATTTACAATTCCTACATATATACACTTTTTAATTCGCATTTGGTATTTTTTGAGAATATTCGAGACTTTGTTACCCTGGTACCATAACAGGAAAATCAATTTTTAATTCCTTAAATCATCAATTGAGTCAAAGAAACCTGACATATCTCATCGTCCAGCCACAACTTTAGGCTTGCTAAAGACGAGATATCTCGTTACTCATACTCAAAAATTCATGCGTTAAAATTCCCATCACTGTCCTTTTTCTCATCTATTCCTCCACTTTTCATACCGATTCCAAACTTCTTCCCTAATTTCTCAGCGAATCCCCAAAACGCCATAAGCCCCAAAGCAGCTTCGATCCGAAGCACACTTTCACTTGGTTCACAGCCTCGAATCTTCCCTCGAACCTAACCCAGAATTCCTACCCTCCAAAAGGCCTGCCTCCGCCATCTCAAGGCTACAACCCCTATGCCCGGAAAAGCTCTTCGCGAACCTTTACCTTCACCTTTTCCGCCCTTCGGCCCTCGCCAGCCGCTGCAGACGCATCGATCAGAGGCAGATCAGAGGCAAATCCGAGGGAAAACAGAAACAGACGCGTTCTTCGAACGGTGGAATATTCACAGACGAAGTTTGTATCGGCCGGGAGCCGCAAAAGAAGCTGGAAGAAATTCAAAGCAACCCCTTTTCGACTCCGTTCATCCACGAAACGCTCCTCTTTGCCGGCTCGACTCTCGGTTTTCTAGTGATTCAGACGTCCGGGGCTTTCTCCCCGATATTCAGCCACTGCTATCGGTGTTTCGATACGAGTTGATCGATTAAAGGGAAGGAGCAGCCTGTTTCCCGATGACGGCGGATGCAGAACGCGGATTCGGATAAATGTAACGATGCACGCGAGGGGATGAGAGGGGGTGGAACAGGTGGAGAGATGAAAGGTGAAAAGGGTGGAAGAAGCGATGAATCGAAGGAGAAAGCAAACTGGAAGGGTCTGCAAGGTGAATAAACGAGTTAGGAATTATTCCGCAAGGCTAACTGCCGGTGAATTCTTTTTGTGGAGGGGGGTATTTTATTTCGCCATTTTCTATTTTTATTTTTCTCTATTTTTATCGCTCATTTCTGTGATTTTATTATGCCAGAAATGTAAACGGGAATATGGTATTCGTTCGTGAAGGACATTTTGAAAATTAGAGAAATATTAGGGGAATTTGAAAATTATGGAGCATCTTTGTTGCGTCATAGTGATTAATTTTTAGTAATTTTTGGTGTATTAGAAACACGAAAGCATCCACTAAGACTGTTTTCATATGTACTGTTTGTTGCTGTTTATTCGACACTGTTTTCGTTTATTTTGT